TTCAGTGAATAAAAGATATTCTATCATTTATTATTACTTTTTCAGTTACATATTGTTTCAACAGATGACCCAATAGAAAGAGTGATACCAGTAACTGAAATTGAAGTATATTGGCCAAAAAAAACAGTAAAATATTCAGAATTTAGAAGGATCTAAGCTAAAAACTCATGTTTACAGCTTCTAATAGTTATTTTGTATAAGCTGAACTTTATTCATTGGTTTTTTGAACTAGTGCTATATTATTTTTGTTCCGGGCTGCCCACACCGTGGAAGGTTGTTTCTTGAGGAAACTGAAGAGGAAAGTAGATTAGTGTTGGTCTTAACGACCTGAGAGCTTGACCATAGAGTTCAAAAGACAACTGCTTGAGGCGGGTCACGCATGACCTTTTTATGAAAGGATTTTTGAGTATTAGCTCAGCTCTTGAAATCCCTTAGTGGGCAACCTTACCGACGGAGACGGAAATCCATGAGGTGTGGCATTTTTAGGACCGACCTTTTCTAACCCCCACCTTCCTTGTGAGAAGGCAGCAGCATCGCTGCACATGCTGGTTGTCCTAGGGAATCACCTTACTGCAATCACACCCCTCTGCAGTCAGCAATACGACTTCGCCCTCAGACCTTGGGTAGCTGCTTTTAGTCTCATCGTTCTCCAATCGACCTTCCTGTCATGGTAGAACCTTCAGGAACATATGTTTCAGCCAATATAGCTCGGTTGGATCATCAGGATTGGCAAGCCCGACCACCACGTCAAGGTAGCAGCTTCAGTCGGGAGACTACAAACGGCGTTTAAGAATACCTGTATTTGATAATGAACATAGTTGTTTACTTTGTATTTTATGTTATAATTATTAACTCACTGTTCGTTTATTATTTAAAGGCGATTTTAGACCAAATTTATCCATAAAACCTTCTCCAATCACTGCTGAAGATCTATGATAGCGTGATCTTCTTAGTTTATCTTCTTGATTCCCACTATCGTCCGCTTCGTTGAAAGTCCAGTCTACTGACTCTCTATTGCCGTGATAACGTTTTATCTGCCTACATTCCTGAAAATTTTATTAAAGTAAAAATCAAGACAATTTTAAATACTTTGTAGATATAAAAATGAAGTAGATTTTCAACTAATATTTTGTTATATCTAAGTAATAAGTAGATAGCTTCTGTGCATTTCTACGTTCTTAAACAAAAGTCAGTGTAATATGAAATCAGCTCTTTAATAGATAATATTAAATGTAGCCTACAAAAATAACTATTTTCAAAAACTGAAGCATCATTCTGTCGTTTTTTTCAAGTGAATAGACGAATGCGTTCCGAACGTAAATTTTTAAATCCTTGAGAAATGATTTGTTTACATCTGTTTTCGACGCTGTTACAGTTGAATTAATTAAAGAGCAACAATATGCGTATTAAAAATACACTGAGCAATCCTATTCATTCACACAGAATTCATCATTTCTATATTTATGCACGATTACTTTTGAAACTCGGGTAGAATTGTATAGATAGTGTCATCATCTAAGAGATTTAACTGTTAGCTAGGCAATGAATCACGTACTTCAAGTAACTATTTTATAAAGTTTTAGTTTTTATCTATTTCTGTTCAGATTTTTAGTGTTTACAATAATGTTCATCATCATTTGCTAGTTCTTACAATCCTGACTTACCTCTAACTCTTGTGAAGAGTATTTTGGAAAGTCTTGTTGAGTTGTACTTTTAGATTTTGAAACTTCCTGTACAGAGTTTGGTATCGACTTCACTAATCTTGAGTTATATCTTCTCATATCTGCAGAACCGAGTCCTTCTTCAGGATTAGTATACCATGGAGTATTTAAATGTCTCCTTTGATATTCTGGATTTACTTTAGGCCGTTGCAACGTATTAAACGACAGTGGATTTTCATCATTGTTTTGCTTATCTTGTTCTTTACTTTTAGTGCTTTCCTTGGCAATTTGGATCAGATGATCCACCTTTTCATTTTCCATGTTCTAAAAAATGTGTAGTGGTTAGATTTGCGTGTATTTGTACTGCTAGTATTCACATAAATATCTATAAACCGAAAAACGTTTTACACCCAAATTAAATCAAAAATATCGTGTACCACCTGGAATAAGACATGAGTTTCTATTTATTCCTACCACTTACATATTTAAAGCGCTATTTGCAGTCTAATTGTAATCTTACTGATTATCTTACAAATTTTCTATCCAGTTTGTTAATTTGGCTTTCGTAGTGTTTTATTTGTATCTCTATACATAAAATGTATAAGCCAAATAGGTTTGAACTTAAAACGAAATCCAAAAATCGAGAAGCACTCATCATATTAATGAATGTGTGTGATTATTTTTCAAGACATACTTAGTTATGGATCTTTTAGCAGGCCACAGTGAGGAGTAATTTAGAATACTACATTTCACATGTAATTTTAGTGACGGAAAATTTTCCTAATTGGTCTCATCTGAGAAATCAGTCTTTGGTTTTGATTTTTCTATTGTGGTATTTATCATTAAAACTTTTCGTTGGTACGATACATAATTTCACTCAACTGGATGATATTAATGACCTTAGCACCTTCTTGCAGTGTATATTGTAGTAGTTAAACTTACTCCGTTTTCGTGATTCGGAGGATTTTCATCTGAATTTTCAAATTGTTGGGAATTCATTAATTTCTTGTCCTCTATTCTATATTTGACAAAAAATGAAGTACTACCAACCTTCTTCCGATTGTGAGGCATTGTCACGTGTGTTTTCGTGTTTGGTTTTCATGTAATCTGAATTTCCATTTTCTAGTACTTCATGAGATTCAGTCTAAATATTTATCATAATCGATTTTATGTTACGTGTTTAGATTCACAATTGTTTTGTTTTGGGTCATATTCCTCACTAGCATCACCCGCCTACAAGATAGTGGTATTGTCCAAACAATTTACTTGTTTTTTCTGGTTGAATCCCGCAGACTGTTTGTTCGCGAACTCGTTAATGAAACAACTGCTTGCTCTACGACTTTTATCTCTGTCATAGCTGGTATTTTCTCTGAATGGGTCCTCAAAATATTGTGGCTCATTTTCTGAACCAAATAATGAGGTTCTCTTATGTGCCTGATTAAAATGTTTCCTCCCAAATCCTTAATTATAAGTTATTAAACTTCGTAATAGAATTTACGTCTTAGGTCTTCAGATATGTGTGCAGGACTCGCCTTATTAATCACATTTGTTGACAGCATCAAAAATAAAATGTACTTTTCGTTATATTAATGCAAATCTAGTTTGCGATACCAGATATATGAAGAATGCGTTATCGTTTGAAAATTCCACGCTTTCACTGTTACTATAGTGCGTTGTTTTAAACTGTTTTTCAGTGAAATTGAAAAAATTGATGGAATGAGGCATATAATAATCCTACTTATTTGGATTTTTCGGCTAATACGGTTGTGCTTTAAGTAGAACTATCAAGTGATCTACTTCTACACACGGTTTCAGCGGAGTAGGATAAGTCATCTGTTTATTTTTATGGAATTTCATCTAAAGGTATGACAACGTTCTTCATTATGAAGAGATACTTGTTTTTCAGAATTTGAAATGGAAAATGAATTAGCCATCAAGGGAAATAACTAGAGTATATCACCTCAACAGAGATCATACCAACGATGGTGCTTACCAGCACAAGGTTTAGTCCCTATAGCTTCCGATAAGCAATTCCATAGTTATGAGTAGTACGGTTCACAATGGCCATATACCTCCAAACCCGCCCTTACTTCAAAACTGGTTTTATTTGATAAGGTTGAACAGAGAAATGAGAAAACATAATTTGTGAGATAGTACCATCTCATAGAACGTGTTCACAACCTATCTAACTTCAATCTTGACAAGGTTTACCTAGAAGCTCTTTCAATGGGACTAAAGTACAAAGTACCACCTAAAAGAATTGACAAGAATTTGGTGGACGCCAATTTCGAAAACCTCTACAGCCAGTTCTCAAATTTGTCTCCAACATCAGCTGAGAATGAGGCATGGTTCAAAGCCTAATCCCAGCAATTTGCAAACACTCCAATCAACCAAAAATCTTGTCTAAAGAATGAGCACACGGAAGCATTGAAGGAACTGAAGAACAAATCCACAATAACAATCTCCAAACGAGACAAAGCTTCTGGTGTAGTAGTCTTGAATAAGGATGACTACATAACGAAAATGAAAGTGATCCTCTCAGACTCTGCCAAATTTAAATCAGATTCACAGGTCGATAACGTGGAGTTGGTCGAAAAACAGATAGGCCGAGAACTACATCTACTCATGCTTCATGGTTTTATCACCGAGGCCCATTATAAAATGCTCAAGCCCATTGGTACATGCACACCAGAAATGTATGGCTTACTGAAACTACACAAGCCTACAACACCTACGAGACCAATTTTGTCCATGATAAATTCACCATATCATAAGCTAGCAAAGTGGCTGAAAGAAATTTTGGATCCTGTTTGTAAACAACTGTCGACACATACCCTCATTGATTCCTTTGAACTTCTCCCAACCATGGAACACTTGAATATTTCCGATAGTCGGATGTGTTCTTTCTATGTAAACTCTTTGTTCACAAATGTACCTCTCGAAGAAACTGTGGAATTTATTTGTGATTTCATAACTTCACACAACATAAGAATACCCATTCCTACTACCTATCTTCGAGATCTAATTTTGCTGCTCACAAAGAATATAAAATTCTATTTCCAAAGTAAAGCATATATGCAAATCGATGGAGTGGCTATGGGAAGCCCTCTCGGACCTGTTCTAGCAAACATTCATGGGAATGATAGAAAGACAAGTGAGTCAATTCATCGATACACTTTAAAAACGATATGTCGACGATATTCTTGTCATATTACCGCATTCTACAGATAATAATGAAGTCAATGATTTATTCAATGCGATTCACCCGAATCTGAACGTCACTTATGAGGGAGAAAAGAATAATGAACTAGCTTTCCTCGAATCCTGCTCCATCGCCATCCAGACGGATCAATCAGACGGAAAGTACACCGCGAACCCACCTGGTCGGGACAGTACGTCCACTTAACTAGTTTATGACCCATACAATATAAACGTTCTGTTGTCAAAACTTTATTCGCTCCAGCAATATAATCTGGTCAACTCAGCCATTAGAACCTTGAGGGCTGCTGCCGGTCTCAAGCCCCGATAAAGGAGGAGGGTTGGACATGGGGTTGGCGGCCCTATTCCGTTGAAATCTCACTTGCCAAAAAAACGCTAACCAGGGAAAATAATTCAAACCATGTTAACTCTGCCCTGGGAGTTGGAAGAAGAATTATGACGTCTCGTGATGAAAGCCGAGTTCCCTCGGAAGTCACGGGGCTGATGCCTCTTCTGACGACCAGAGCAACCATTTTTTTAGGTACATGGAACGTTCGTACATTATGGGAGACTGGAAGACTATTTCAAGTTGCGGCAGAAATGAAAAGATACAACCTCGAGGTGCTCGGCATCAGTGAAACGCATTGGACACAGGTAGGACAACTGAGACTAGCTTCAGGGGAACTGCTGTTATACTCTGGTCATGAAGAGGAAAACGCTTCACATACACAAGGAGTTGCACTGATGCTGTCCAAACATGCACAAAAGGCACTGATAGGATGGGAATCTCATGGACCCAGGATCATTAAAGCATCCTTCAAAACAAAGAAACAGGACATTACAATAAACGTCATCCAATGTTATGCACCTACCAATGACTACAATGACGACGTTAAAGATCAATTCTACGAAAGGCTGCAGTCAATCGTCGAGAAATGTTCACCAAAGGATTTGACGATTCTTATGGGAGACCTGAATGCCAAGGTTGGAGGACAACACTGGATATGAAGACATCATGGGACGACATGGACTGGGAGAAAGAAACGAAAACGGTGAGAGATTTGCAAACTTATGTGCCTTCAACAAACTGGTTTTCGGTGGCACAATATTCTAGCACAAAGGCATTCACAAAGCCACATGGATTTCACCGGATCACACTACTCAAAACCGAATCGACCATATCTGTATCAACAAAACGTTCAGAAGGACCATGGAGGATGTGAGAACCAAGAGAGGAGCTGATATAGCTTCAGATCACCATTTGCTGATCGCCAAAATGAGATTGAAGCTAAAGAAGCACTGGACAACGGGGCAGACAACATCACAGAAGTTTAATACAGCCTTTCTTCGGGATACCGTAAAACTCAACGAATTCAAGATAGCCCTCACCAATAGGTTCCAGGCCTTTCAGGATCTACTCAATGGAGAGGAAGCAACATTGGAGAACAATTGGAAAGGGATTAAGGAGGCAATCACTTCAACATGTCAGGAGGTCCTTGGTCGCAAGAAGCACCATCACAAGGAATGGATCTCTGTTGATACTCTTGCAAAAATTGAAGAAAGGAGGAACAAGAAGGCAGCAGTGAATGTCAGCCGAACAAGAGCGGAGAAAGTTAAGGCGCAAGCCGAGTATACAGAAGCAAACAGGGAAGTGAAGAAGAGCATCAGAGCTGACAAACGAAAATATGTGGAAGATCTAGCAATGACGGCGGAAAAGGCTGCAAGAGAAGGAAACATGAGACAATTGTACGAAACAACAAGGAAGCTCGCCGGGAACTATCGTAAACCAGAACGACCAGTGAAAAGCAAGGAAGGGAAAATAATCAGCAACACTGATGAACAGCGAAATAGGTGGGTAGAGCACTTTAAGGAACTCTTGAATTGACCAGCTCCACTGAACCCACCCAACATCGAAGCAGCATCCAAGGACCTCCCAATTAATATTGGCGCACCTACGATTGAGGAGATCAGTATAGCCATCAGACAAATCAAGAGCGGCAAAGCAGCAGGACCAGACAACATTCCAGCAGAGGCAATGAAAGCAGATGTGGAAGCAACTGCGAAAATATTTCACATTCTCTTTAAGAAGATTTGGGATGAGGAACAAGTACCATCAGATTGGAAAGAAGGATACCTCATCAAAATACCAAAGAAAGGCGATCTCAGCAAGTGTGAGAACTACAGAGGCATCACTCTTCTTTCAATACCAGGCAAAGTCTTCAACAGGGTATTGTTAAACAGAATGAAGGACTTCGTAGACGCCCAACTTCGAGATCAACAGGCCGGATTTCGTAAGGATCGATCGTGTACTGACCAAATTGCTACATTACGGATCATTGTGGAACAATCAATTGAATAGAACTCACCACTCTACATCAACTTCATCGACTACGAGAAAGCATTCGATAGCGTGGATAGGAAAACACTGTGGAGGCTTCTTCGACACTACGGTGTGCCTGAGAAAATAGTCAACATCATACGGAATTCTTATGATGGATTCAACTGCAAAATCGTGCACGGAGGTCAGCTGACAGACTCTTTTGAGGTGAAGACCGGTGTCAGGCAAGGTTGCTTACTCTCACCCTTTCTCTTTCTCCTGGTCATCGACTGGATTATGAAGACGTCAACATCTGGAGGGAAGCACGGTATCAACTGGACAGTTAGGACGCAGCTGGGCGATCTGGACTTCGCAGATGACCTGGCTCTTCTATCGCACACTCAACAACAAATGCAAGAGAAGACGACCAGTGTAGCAGCAGCCTCTGCAGCAGTAGGTCTCAACATACATAAAGGAAAAAGCGAAATTCTCCGATGCAACACAACATGCACCAACCGAATCACGCTTGATGGAGATACCTTGGAGGAGGTTAACACCTTCACATATCTGGGCAGCATCATCGACGAGAAAGGTGGATCGGACGCAGATGTGAGGGCGCGGATTGGCAAAGCGAGGGCTGCATTTCTACAGTTGAAAAATATCTGGAACTCCAAACAACTTTCAAACAAAACCAAAATCAGGATTTTCAATACAAATGTCAAGACAGTTCTACTGTATGGAGCGGAAACATGAAGAACTACCAAAGCCATCATTCAGAATATGCAAGTGTTTATTAACAGCTGTCTATGCAAAATACTTCGTATTCGTTGACCAGACACCATCAGCAACAACGAATTGTGGGAGAGAACAAGTCAGATTCCAGTGAAGGAGGAAATCAGGAAGAAGCGGTGGAAGTGGATAGGACATACACTACGAAAAG